TTTTTTTAATTATATGTCTCGTCTTCTACCCGTGTAGCTCTGGTTATGTACTGAGTTGATTTATTAATCTTCCTGTTCAAATGTACTTAGAATTACCGTATATAAATCTGTTTTCATAGCAGCGGAAAAAAGGAAGCGAAGGTTTGAAAAATGAAGTTCAAAGTTATGTGTGTATATATATATTAAACGAAATAAAGTAATACTATTCAAGACTCTTTTTTTTTTTTTGAGTAATAAACGAGGAACAATTAAATTATGAAATCAACGTTAGAACTGGAAAAAAAACCAATTGCCAAATTATTTTTTTTGAAGTAGCTAAAATTAAAATTAAATTTATGAATAAAGTTAGTTAATGAAGCTGTTAATTAAAAATTAAAATTCAAATCTGTTCAGGGGTGTTTAATTTGAAGCTGTTTCCTTAACATACATCTATCTTCTCAAAAGCATTTTTGTTCCTTCTAGATAATCAAAAGTTACTTCATTTATTTAATTTAAGTATCTTTTGAAGATCTACAACACACAACTGAACACAACATTTTAGAAAATATTAAAATGCACATAATATGTTTGAAAAATTAATACCAATTCCTTATTAAGGTTCAATTCTTTTTCTGTGGATTGTTAAGAAAAAATTTTCAAATATTAAAAAATTCAAAAATGTAACAAACACATAAAAATACTAATGCTAAACAAATAGAAAATAGATTGGCTAATTAGAATACATACCTACGCATGATGTACAAATAAGGGCAGTGAATACTTGCGAGGTGACTACCTCTCTAAGATGATCAATTTTGAAAATAAACCATTGAGAACATAAATAAACAAAGATCTAAGATAACCTAAGACCAAAACTGTCTGGAACCTTGGGTGGTCTTCTCAAAGAGGATTCGCCGCATATAAAACAGGATATGGACGCCCTTAATGTATTTGGAACCCTGGCTTTTTCTTCGCCCTTCTATAGAAGTATAAGTAGCCAAATCATGAGCGAACGTTTCAAAAACATTGCCCTCTCGAAAAGTCCTGACATTCACTGCCCTATGTTAAGGCGCTATTAGAACAGAAGCACGATAATTTCAAGTTTAAATCAAAATTTTACAGTGTTACTTTATAGGAAAGTTTCTGTTGAATATTTCTGCACTTTGTAAGAAATGGAACCCGATGTCTCTTTGCTATGAAATGCTTAATTTCTGTACAAAGTAATCTCAATGTAAAGTTCAAAGTTCAATGTCTAATTTGGAATTAAAAAAAAAAAACCTCTATCCATAGCGTTTTGAAAAATATATAATAGTTTTCCAATCTGCAGTAACGTACATACATTTTAGTTTTTAGATAAAAAAATATATATAATAATTATTACATTAGACTCAGTTGCAATGATAATAATGAAAATTATACAATAAAATATAACAACTATTATTATATAATTTACCATAAAATGATGTATATATAACAAAAATAATTTTAAAACCTTCAATGTTTTTTCAATGTGCATAAATAAATAAATGCACAAAATAAAAAACAATGTAATCGTACAGTTAACTACTTATCTTAGACTACTTTTAAAAATGTTCTGCCTCTTTAAGTCCTTCCGCTTCTTTCAAAGCAGTGAAAAACTGGGAAATATAAGAACGGAACAAATCTATACTACATGGATTCATATCTATCCACTCTATTTTTGTTTAAAGCAGTCTGAATACGTGTTTGTGCTCATGACCGTGGCATTAAATTATGAGAATGACCGTGGTTAAAATTATGAGAGCCAGTTTTCCTTAGACACATAGCTTAACTTACTTTGGCATAATCAAACAAACTACTTCTAAGCAAGCATGTGTGGCTGTAGTGGCGCTTCAGATAATTGATACAGTAGACTCCCGAAAACTCGGTGTTCGATAACCCGGCAGTCCGGATAACTCGGCTACACCCTGGCAGGGCTAAAGGGCTGGTTCTTCATCTTCTCCCTGCTGAAACCGGAAAAAGAGACTGATGACGTAGTTGGGTTCGCTTGCTGCTTTCAGAGTGTCTAATTCCGCCTTCGGTTTCACGAGTATTTGCTTGAAAATTAAAAGGTTTTGAAGAACTGTTTGGTAAATAATACGAGCAAGAGATTTTATCTGATGAAATTACAATATATGTGGACATTCGCTCCTACAACTCAACCGCCTTTTTCCTAAATCTGGCAACAGCTACAGCAGCGATATACTTCTTCAAGCTGCGTGAAGAAATGGACAGACTTGCATTCCGATGAGGTTATGACGTGGCGATGGATGTAGCTGAACTATCCCGCTCGACAATGTTGCTTGATGATGTAATTCCGTTCATGATGAATAGAACTTTTTATCTTACTTCCTTTCACTCTGTATATACCATAATCATGTTTATTCTTTCATTATTAAATACCTGTAAAATGCCACTGCCTTCCTCTATTTTAATCCTAACCTCATCCCACATGGGGGCTCGGCCCCACGAACTCTTTCGGCCCCTGGAACTCTTCCCCCGTTTGAACTAACCACACTAGACACCACTATATAACTATAAATGACGGAATACTTTGGAAACCTATGGAATAATATCGCAAGATTCCAGTTGTTGTGATTCGTCAGCACGTAAGTAGAGCTAATTTTATTTGATGAAGTAATACTAATGAGGAAGTAATATTCTTTTAAGTTATTATAAAAATTTGATGACGCCTTTTTATGAAGTTTATTTGAAGAAGCGAAAGGCATTTGATTTTGATGAAAATTCATTTTATTTTTGAATGATTATTACTTTGAAGAATTAACACTTCCGTTTTCGAATTTGATGTTGATGATAATTAATTAAGCAGTTTTGATGAAGTTTAATTAAATAAACTAAAGGTATTTGATTTGATGGAAATCCATTGCCGACTATTTAAAGAACTGCGATGTATTAAAAAAATTACTCTGAAAAAATTAATACTTTCGTCTTTGAATTTGATGCATAAATTTCTTATTTCTTGTGATGCCTATATTTTACAAGGACTGTAGAATATTATTTGAAGTTATTAATTTTGATATCGTATCTTAAGTGAAATTCTATTTTCCATTCTTAACAAAAGTCTTATATGAAGATTTGTTTGACGATATATTTTACCATTTGTTTGAATCATATGTTCACAATTTCATTTATGACAGAGTGTTTTAACATCATTATTGTGTAAGAAGAATTAATATTATTTTGAAGAATATGAAAAGTTAAGAGTATATTTTGGTATACTAATTTTTGAAACCAGATAAATAACATTTCATGAAATCGAAACATACATATTTTGTGAATTTTATATTTGGTTAAAACAAAACTGATAAATAATGGCTACACTTAACGATTATCCCAACATTGCACAGTCATTAAAAACTGCCAAGACAAAGCATATCAAGCTTTTATATCGTTTAGTTTTTGGCTCAGATGGTGATCGGCAGAATCGTGCTAGGTTACGTAATTTTTCTGGTTTTCCCAAACCATTTAACTTTGAAGATACGAAACAAAAAATTATCAAAGAGTTTTCTCTCACAAATTAATTGCCATATGTAGCGTACTGCATTTAGAATTTTCCACCGATATTGAAAACTGTGCTAATAATATTCTTACGAATTTAGCTGACGTATCGTTATTAAAATCAGATTCCGCTGACCACAGCGACCTTGAAGAAGAAGCTTTGGTGCAAAGTTCACCCTCGACGCATAGCGTCGCCCAAACGAACATTAACCACGCTCCAGATGAATCTTTATGTAAACAAATGGAGGCAAAAATCTATCTTGAAAGCGCGCCTGGAACTTTATTGCTTTCACAAACAAAGACTGTTCCGTTTCAATGTTTTGGCGTAAAAGATATTGTTGATTTGATCAAACCGTTTTCCTCTCGGGATAATTACAGCGTTGAAACTTTTATTTCTGACATAGAAGATATTTTTAATCTCTATGAGATCACGAATCCTGTACACCAAGTAATTTTTGTTAAAAAATGTCTTACAGGTCCAGCTTTAATTTTAATAAGATCAATTTGTGGAATTACTAATTGGGAACAATTAAAACACCATTTATTAGATGAATTTTCGGATAAAATTAATAGCCTTCAATTACATAAAATAATGGAATCTCGTCACATGAAACAATTTGAAACCTTACAAGAATATTTTTTAGCTATGAGAGATCTCTCACACAAAGGTTCTATGGATGATTCTTCTTTGATTGAGTATGTTATAAATGGTATTCCTGATTCACCAAACAATAAAATAAATTTATACGGTTGTAAATCCATTCCTGAATTTAAAGAAAAACTGAAGATTTATGAAAAACTCTTTAACAATTCAAAACGTTTGAAGCAAAACACTCCAAAGCAATTTAGAAATTCCTTTCCCAATGTTAAAATTGATGCTAAACGTACATCAGACACTCAACCAGTATGTTATTCCTGTGGTTTGAAAGGCCACAAAAGCAATACTTTTCCTAATAAATCTAATGGCAAATTATGTTATGGCTGCCAAAATTATGGTCACGTTCATTCCAATTGTCCCAAACGTTCTGGTACTTCTGCCACGGAATCTGGTAATTGTTCTACATCTGATCGTACTGTAAATACACTTTCTACTCAAAAATTTTCTACAAATTCTATGCATGTTGATATTCAATTTAAAGGAACTCAGTTAACTGCTCTCTATGACACTGGATCACAAGCAAGGCTAATTAATGAGCAAGCATACCACAAAATTGGTTCTCCACCATTACATCCGTCCAGAATTACATTCTCAGAACTTGGCTGAGGCACAGTTCAATGTATTGGATTCTTTCAGGACTACATTCAAATTAAAAACACTATTTTACCTGCTAAAATCCATGTAGTAAAAAACTATATGATTCCTCTTGATGCCATTATCGGCATAGACTTTTTGCAACAAACTCGATTTACATTTGTTAAAGATGGTATTCATTTATGCAACAATAATAATGATCAAATTTTTGTTAATGTTGCCAATGTTACTCATGATCACATTTCCACCTGATCTTTCACAAATCTCAAAATCGGAAATTCTCGAAGAAGTTCAACATATCATTACTCCTCACAAACCACACAAAGTTGACACAATTATGAAAGATTTTCAGGGAATAAAAGAAAATGAAAATCAGTTGAAGAAAACAGTTAAGGAAAATGATAATGATGCTGCACGTGACGATTTAGAATTGGATTTAGATGATGAGAATTTGGATTTGGATGATCACGATAACAAAGAGGATGCTAATACCAATCATGGAACTCATGACGATGATGTTGATGAAGATGGTGATGACGCAGACGACGACATGGATCAAGATCATGATATTGATGATGATGACAATCATAACGCTAATGTTGCTGATGATGATGATGGCACTCCTGAAGCTAATGAAGATAGTGATAATGATGTTGATCAAGTTGACGTTACTGTTGTTGATGAAGATCATGTCAATGAAGATGATGATGATGACAGTCATAAAGCTAAGGATGATGATGTCGAAAATGATCCAAGTGTGCAGAATACTGAAGAAACTGTGAAAAAGAAACTGAATCAATTTTAACAAGCATGTGCTGATCAAGCAAACGAAAAAACACGTGCTAAAAGTGCAGAAACTCCAAAACAATAGAAAAATAATCCAAGGAAACTACTTGTCTCTGACATTCCAGCGGATAGTACAATTTCTCAAATTGCTAAACTTTTTCCAAAAGCATCTCAGATAACTCTGAATTTATCACCTGTACATTCAAATGTTACCGTAAGTTATATACAGAAAAAAGATGCATTTGAAGCTTTTGAGGCAATAAGGAATGCTGAAATACTTGGAATCAAAATTACTGTTTCACACACTTTATCCGCTTCACACCCAAAGATGCGCAAGAAGAGAGCGTGGAAGTGTAAACAAAGAAAATTTAAACGAACTTCAGAGGCAATGAAATTGCAGACACAGCAAGATGATGAAAACGCTGCATTATGCATTGAAGTTCAACGGAACCTCCTCCGTTTACAGCAAGTACATATACGACAGTATAAGAAACGTCGCAAACCTGCCTGCAAATATAAACTTGGACACCAAATGCCAATTCAGCCTGAACTGAAACTTCCACTTGGTCTGAATCTTCGACTTGAATTGAAACTTGGACTTAAACTTCGTCCCAAATTCTTCGGTCCTTATGAGACAGTTCATCCCTCTGATTGTTACGAAGTACGAAAGATACGCCATGAAGGAACCATTATGATATCAACCTGTACTGATAAGATGAACTGGTGGTGCACAAAGCTAACATTCACCACCTGGACATTGATTTTTTTTTCATTTTCTTTGCTTTTTTTTCCTTTCTTTTCAGATCAACCCCCAGGCGAGGACGCCCGGAAAGGCAGAATGGCAGTGTGGACATTCGCTCCTACAACTCAACCGCCTTTTCCTAAATCTGGCAACAGCTACAGCAGTGAGATACTTCTTCAAGCTGCGTGAGGAAATGGACAGACTTGCATTCCGATGAGGTTATGACGTGGCAATGGATGTCGCTGAACTATCCCGCTCGACAATGTTGCTTGATGTAATTCCGTTTCATGATGAATAGAACTTTTTATCTTACTTCCTTTCACTTTGTACATACCATAATCATGTTTATTCTTTCATTATTAAATACCTTTAAAATGCCACTGCCTTCCTCTATTTTAATCCCAACGTCATCCCACATATATATGCATTTATATCTAATTTAGTAATGCAGCTATGTCACATTTATTTAAACTATAGTACGCGTAAAACAAAAGCGTAACTTATTATTTAAAATCGAATATACATTAATTATGGTTAAATTTTTCCTCAATATTTTTTTAATGTATGTAAATGTATCCATCGACAAAAAACTTTCATAGATTTCTATATTTACGAACTATATTTTTATCTTTTTCTTTAGCCCTGACACCCTCGCAGGTCGAAAAAACCCCACACGCAGACCGTTTCAAGGTCATTGCCCACTTTCATATGTCCCCTCCGCCTCCTTCCTGCCTTCCTTTGTCTCGCGTCACTCCCACTCCTCCGTCACATGACTGTCGCCGGGGTTCAGCTGTTCAGTCTACCTGCAGATATGTAGATATAGGCGCAAGGGAAATATAGGGAGAAAGGTATAGATGCAAGCTGTGATCCTCTATTCTTGCTGCAAACGATGATGGTTATGGTTTTATTGAGAACTTAAAAAAATTTAACCTAGTAGATGTAGTTGAAAATTAGGGTTAGTCGATTTCTTAGCCACGTTGCGTAATTCGATGCGAGTGACTGTACTGTACTGTTTCAAAGTTTGTGGGTGCTGGACAGTACTCTGCGATGGCATTTTCCGTTGAAATAAAACAAGTGAACTTGTCTATGGAGAAAAGGTTGGGGGGGGCTCTTAAAGAGACTCGATAAGAGAGAAAGTGTCAGTGCAGTGGCTAAGGATTAGGGAGTCGGCAAAAGTACGATTGGAGACTGAAGGAAGAAGCGGACGGAAATTGAATCGTGGTGTATTAAGAGATCATGGTGTATCGTGGTGTACAGAAACATTGAAAGAAAGAAAAAGTATGAAGTGAGTTTAATTTGGTAAATGAAGCACTTTACATTGGTTTTGCCAAACAAGAGAGAACAGCACGCCAATTAGTGGGCCAGTCTCGCAAGAGAAAGCCTTAAAATTTTATGAAGAATTGAAAAAGGCAACGATCCTAAATTTGTCGCAAGCGCTGGCGGGCTTGATCCCTGAAAGAACCGATGTGGAGTGCATTAGCTTAGTATTTGTGGCGAAAACCTATCCGGGGACACGGAGGGTATGTCTCAATTTAAGGAAAACATTTATAAATTGATCGTAGTTGACAGTTTTACCGCAGAGCAATTGTGATGAAACAGGGTTAAACTATACACTTTTAACAGCAAAAAAATCCTGCTTTCAAGGATGAACAATCAGCCCCTGGTCTTAAAAGGAGCAAGGAGAGAGTAACAATCCTAGCATGCAGTAATGCAACAGGTGACCACAAATTAAAACTTGGTTCCATAGGAAAATCAAAGAAACCACATTTAAGCACATTGAAATGGATAAACTTTCTGTTCGGTATCTAAACTAGTCAAATGCCTGGTTGACCTGTGCAGTTTTCAAAAAATGGTCCCATGAAGTACACTCATGTCCATAAATTAAGGATAATTCGGAGTCACGCGGAAATGGAACTCTAAAATAAATATATCACCTGTAAAATCACTACACACATCTTCAAGAATTATATGCAAATTTCAGGAAGTAACCAGATGACACCGATGGTACGTCACAATGTCGAGAGTGTAAGAGAGTGACCCGTATGGACTGGCCAGCATTCTCACCGGACTTGAATCCAGTAGAGCACGTGTGGGACATGCTTGGCCGACAAGTTGCAGGCCGTCAACCTCCTCTTACATATCTACCGGAACTTCGGGGAGCATCGCGTTTTGAGTGGTATAATATCCCCCAAGATCAGATCGATAATTTGATACTCAGCATGCCTAGGCGTTGTACGGACTGTATTGCATCGTCTGGGAGACATACAATGTATTAACAATCATACCAAATATGTAATTTTGGTTTTTTGTAAGTAGGTTTTTTTTTTTTGTAATTTGCTCCAGGGAGAAAAAAATCGCTAATTTTTAAATAATATCAAACATATAGTATCTTTTTTTTTGCTCTTTACGTTTTGTTTAATAAATAAGCTTTACAAATAAGTCAAATTTGTTTTGCTTCTAACTCTTCCTTTGCCTGATGCATTATCCTTAATTTATCGACATGCGTTTATTTGTTCCATTGATTGAACGTTTTTTTAAATCTAAAAACTTGCCAAGGAAGGCTATTCTAATTTTGGAGAACGTGTTTTCGCACCCAGACACTGAAGTGTTAAAAAATGGGGACATACGAGCAATGTTTTTACCACCCAGTGTTACAGCGTTATGCCTTCCAATGGACCAAGGAGTTTTAGTTAGTCTCAAAGGCAGATATAGGCGCAAGCTGTAACCCTCTTTTCTTTCTGCAAACAATGATGGTCATGGTCTTATTCACAACTTAAATTAACGTAGTAGATTTAGTTGGATGGGTAGCAGACGCCTGGAACGAGTTAAAGTCATTAACACTAGTTTGTTCTTGGCGAGAATTCCTTGATCACGAAGGAGAAGAGTTCGTTGACCATAATGATGCAGAAAATGTAAACTTACTCTACCTCCTGAAAAAAATTCCTGGATGTGCAGAAGCCGATGAAAATGACGTCGAACAGTGGTTCCAGAATGACACCCAGCCAGACATTATGCCCGATGCAGAAATTATTGCTGCTATCACAGTTAATAAAGAAATGCTGGAGAATTATGAAGACGTTGACTTTGAGGACTTCACCGTACAAGCCGCTATAATATCACAGAATGAGGAACTAAAAGCGGTCGAAACTTCCCTACAGTATTTTGAACAACAAGGTGGGTCAGTAATAGACTTACTGTTCCTTCGTCGTCTTCGTGATGAAGCAACAAAACGCAGAGTTCAGTGCGGAAAACAACATAATATTATGTATTTCTTGAAAGAAAAGTAGCCAGTTTTTCCAAAGTCGGCTAGATAGTTTTCATTATAGTCAGCTTTATGCCTTCATAAAGCATTTTCGGAGGTCTGTCTCATCAGGTAAATTACTGTACAGTATGTATTCAATAATTTTCAATAGTAAGATCTCTATGCCTTCATAAAGTACGTACTTTTTCTTTGTTTAAGAGTATTTTGCTAGCTTGAGTTACAGTATTGAATCCTTTGTAAACTTTTGTGTTCTCAAGCAAACAAAACATACAAACACTGTATTTTCTGAGGAAACATTCGTACTTATACATTTTAAAACCTTTCTCGATAACCCGCTATTTTCACAAAATCGGCCGCCCTTCCACATTAGGCCGAGGTTTCGGGACTCTACTGTAACTACAAATCAACAGATGAATGTGTAGTCGATAACGCCGGCACAGTTGATCTGATGGCATAATCTAGGGATATCAAAATGTTTGGTTACGTGTAGCAAAATTCGTAAAATTTAGAGGAGGCATATTTGGGCGTACTTAAGCAGCAGAGTTTAGGGGCAGCAAAATTTTTAGAATTTAAGGAAGTGCAGGGCACCAAAATTTAGCACACAGGCAGCTGTAGCGGGCGGCAAAATTGCCTACAGTTGGCCTTGGTGGTAGATACATTCAAATACTCTAAGTAAGTAAAAAAGTATCGGTACTATTCTATTATTGAGACCGGGTCCAGAAATATGTGTATGTATGCATGCGTGTATGGATGCATATGTTCATGTTTACTTTTATATGTGCATTTGCGTATGCATAACAGCGTATACACACACACATATACGCACATACATACATACACACACTTCTCAATCCGGTCCTGATAACAGAAGAGTACCGACTTATCTTCAGATTTCTTCAAAAACCAAGCATGCAGGCAGATAACGCAAATAAAGGAATACATGTAGAGCAAATAAATTGTAAAACCCTTTCAGACTTCTAATTCATAACTTTTTTTAGTATAGGCGTAATTCTGC